GACCTGTTCCAAGGACAAGACCATCAAGATTTTTAACCGCAGACCCCTTCGTGCCGGCGACCTCGGCTACATGGAAGTCGACCCCGTGCCGATAAACATCCGATATGGCTCGTCGATCCCCGTCAGCCCGAGCGATCTGCCCGTGACCCCCGCTTGGACCCTGATTGGCGTCCTTCAGGGGCACAGCGCCGCCGTCAACGCTGTCCAGATCCACGAGAGGGAGGTTGTGTCGGCAAGCGGCGACCGGCACATCAAAGTCTGGGACTGGCCGACTCAGGCGTGCATCCGCACGATTGTGGGACATACCAAAGGCATCGCCTGTGTGCAGTATGACGGTCGCCGCATCGTGAGCGGGAGTAGTGATAATGTGGTCAAGGTCTTTGACCGGCAAACTGGCTTGGAGGTGGCGAGCCTTCGCGGCCACTCCAACCTCGTGCGCACGGTTCAGGCCGGGTTTGGTGACCTGCCCAACAGCGAGGAGGAGGACGAGGCCGAGGCGAGGAAGGTGGATGCTGCCTACTTCAAGGCCGTCGAGAGCGGAGAGATCGAGCCAGAGTACAGGCGCACGCGTTCTAGCGGTCCACGGCCCGACAATGCTGGCTCCAAGCAACCGCGGGACATTTGCGCATACGGGGCCAAACTACCCCCCGGCGGCGGAGGCGGAAGGTTTGGTCGCATTGTCAGTGGGAGTTATGATACCAGCATAATCATCTGGCGCAGGGACAAGGAAGGGAAATGGAAAGCTCAGCACCACCTTAAGCAGGAGGACGCTGCCGCTGCCGCCCTGCGAAGGGGCTCGCGGTCCCAAACCCTTCCCCCTTTTGGCAGCATGCAGTTTCACCCGTCGGTAAGATCCTCCGCCCTCGGCCCGATGTCGACAGGCGTGCCGACGGCGATGGGTTTCGCGTCAGCCTCGACGTCAGCGGGCGCGGTACCTGGACCAACACTTGCACCGATCAACACAATGGCCCAGATGGACGCCATGGCCCTTGCCGCGCTGCAACCCGCGGTCGCGCAGCACTATCAACGGCTCATTGACCAGGTCGTTCAGCTCGGACCCCAGAGCCTTGCGCAGGCGCTGGTGGCGCACCCGACTATCCTCCGGCTCCGAGCGTACGTAGAGGGCGCCATCGACCGCCAGCCGAGCCCGGTTGTCAGGAGCCAGCTACGGCAAGCCTTTTCAGCTGCCATGATCCGGGCCCAGTTTGAGCACGCGCGGCAGAGACGGGAGGCGCTGCGGAACCAGGCCGAGGCCGCCACCGGGAACAACACGGCCCAGGATGATCAACAGCCGGCGGCGGCAGGGCCGGTGGTAGCAGGGGGCACCGCAAGACCTGCGGCGGTCCGGCCGAATGCGGCGCAACTGTCGGCGGCGGCGGCGGCGGCAGCAGCGGCGCACCAAGCCCATGCCCCGACCCACGGGGTTCACTTGCATCAGGTACCCGATTCCCTCCCTCCCGCCCCTCCCGTCCCACCTGCCCCCGTCCACTCCGTCCCACCTGCCCCCCGCCCCGCCTCCCCCCCCGGTCCCGGTCCCACCCAAGCCCGAGTCGACGCCGCTAATTCCGCTCGCGTGTTCAAGTTACAATACGATGCCCGCCGAATCATTTGCTGCAGCCAGACCAGCGTCATTGTCGGCTGGGACTTTTGCAACGGCGACCCCGAGCTGGAAGAGGCGAGCCGCTTCTTTGGACATGTCCAATAGTTGGATAGCCCGAGGGAAAGGGGTGCGGGACTATTTAGGGGATGGATACGAGTAGCAGCGTTTGGTTCATACTGCTCCACAGCGAATCACGAAGCTCGGCAGACAACGAGTGCATCAACGGCGAACGGTGGACATCTACAGAGCATTGGCATGGAAGCACGGCACGGCGTCAGGTAGGAAGTTTGTTAGCAGAAAGACAGATAGACGAAGAGGCAGCTAGGTTTGGCAACTCGACCGATAATGGACTCCCGCAGTATCCGTACCTGCTATTTACCTACTACTGGGAGACAATCTGTGGGAGGTAGTAGACGTGACCCCCCGCACAATAACCCAACGTTCACCCCCAAAAATGACTCCGACGCCGTCCCATGTCCTTGCCTTACGCAATCCGATCCCAACTCCTCCAACCGCAACCATCCTGAACTTCTCCCGCCGCAGCGCCCCCGTCTACCTCGCCACCTCCTGCACCTTCCCCCCCGCCTTCGGCGCCTCATCAATAAACTCTGGCACCTCATCTTGCATAAAACTCGGCACCGCGCCCTCCATCCCGCCAAACTCCCTCTCCATCTCCACCTCCTGCCCCAGCGCCTCCAGCTCGGCATCCAACTCGGCCTCGTCCACATCCTCGGGCACATCATAGCTCCGCGCCAGGCTCTCCTGGATCTCGTTCCCCACGTCCAGCAGATCCGCCATCTCGTCCTGCAGCCGCTCGATCTTGTCGATGTCGACCTTGCCGTACTCCTTGCGCAGCGCCTTGTTGGTACTGCGCAGCGCGTCCACCGTCACCATGGTGTTCTTGAGGTTGTCCTGCATCGTCTGCGCCTGCTCCATGTTCCAGACCTGCCCCTGGAGCTGGTCGCGCTGCGCCTCGTACTGCTTGCGACGCTGGAGCACCTTGAGCGCTTTTTGCTTCAGTGCGGTTTTTCCCGGCCCGTCGCGCATCTTGGAGAGCTTGGTTTGGTAGCCCGTGAGCTCGGCGGTCAGCGCCGCGAGCTTGACGTCGATGGAGGAGACGCGCGTGTCGATGTTGGAGATGGCGGAGTGGAGGGTGGCCTTTGGGGGTTTGGGGCCCGAGGAGCCGAAGAGGCGGTTCATTTTGGGGAGGGGGGGGGGTTCGGGGAGAGTTGTTGGTTGGGAGGTCGGGGGGTGGGGTGAGGTTGTTGCTGCGTGCGCGTGGTGATCGATCGGGTTTCGAGGGAGATGGCTTCGCGGTGCTTAGTGTGGTGACGACGACGCTGTCGCCAGCTGGGGAGTGGGATGGGTAAGGCTGGGGAAGGCGGAGGAGGGACGGTGGGGTGCAGGCTTGGGTGAGGCTGGCGAATGGGAGGCAGGGCGCTCTAACGTGCCCGCTGGTGGCAGGTGTGGGGCATTGGCAGGTCACAATGGAAAGCTTCCTCGTTTCCGGCTTAAGACACTGTACCTCACCTGAACTCGCCTCAATCCCCACTGGAAATGCCACTGGAAATGCCACTGGAAAATGAAGAGCCTGTTGACATTTTGCGAGAAAGCAGTAAGGGAATATGGACTGGCGTGGTATTGCTTTCAAATATTGCTTATTAAGCCAGGCCGGATTCCGACCAGAGTTATAGAGGCCTGAAGGAGCCGCGCGGGCTGAGATGGTCACTGGTCTGGTCGTTTGTCATCCGGCCTTGATGAACTCCGATTTCCGTATCCTCGCCGCCGCCGTATCGCTCTCAAGTCTCAACACAACGACATTTCTCGACACAGACCACAGTTCTGTAGGGACAAACGCCGCCATCGTCATTTGTCAGCTTCCAAAGCCCAATTCCCATCCTTTGGTTGTGATATCCAAAGCTGCCAAGTCGTCGCGTCACTATTTATCCGACGTCATTTCCCCCCACCTGAGTGCCGTGCCGTTTCACATCAACATCACAACATCTCAACTTCTACAGCATCTCAAGCAACCGTCCACCCAGCGTCACGCACCATGGCTACACAAACCATACTGGTCCTCGGCGCAACCGGCAAGCAGGGCGGCGCCACCATCAAGTCCCTGCTCGACCGCCCCAAGGACGCCAGCCCCATCCACATCCTCGCCCTGACCCGCAACCCCTCCTCCCCCGCCGCCCAGACCCTGGCCACGGCCCACCCAGACGTTGTCGAGCTCGTCCAAGGCGACAGCACCACTCCGGAGCCCATCTTCTCCGCCCGCCCCAAGGGCTCCATCCACGCCGTCTACGTCGTCACCCTCCCCGGCAAGGTCTCGGAGGAGACCCAAGCCATCCCGCTCATCGAGGCCGCCGTCGCGCACGGCGTCCAGCACATCGTCCTCTCGTCGGTCGACCGCGGCGGCGACGAAAAGAGCTGGACGAACCCCACCAAGATCAAGCACTTTTACGAGAAGCACAACATCGAGCTGCACCTGCGCGAGCTCGCGCGCGCGCAGCCGGGCAAGTTTACCTGGACCATCCTGCGCCCCGTCGCGTTCCTCGATAACTGGGCACCGGGGATGATGGGGAAAATGTTCAGCGCCATGATCGCCGCGTCGATGAAGCCGACGACTAAGCTGCAGCTCGTGAGCGCGCGCGACATTGGCATGTTTGCGGCAGCGGCGCTGACGGACCCCGAGAGGTGGGCCGGGCGCGCGGTCGGGTTAGCCGGGGATGAGTTGACGCTGGGGGAGGCGCAGGAGAAGTTTGAGAGGGTGACGGGGCAAACGCTGCCGCAGACGTGGACGTTTTTGGGGAGCTTGTTGCTTTGGATGGTCGCGGACGTGGGGAATATGTTTGCCTTTTTTGAGGAAGAGGGGTATGGCGCCGATATTGAGGCGAGGAGGAGGGAGTTGCCGACGCAGGACTTTGAGACGTGGTTGAGGGAGGGTAGCCAGTTTGAGTGTAAGTGAGGTGCGGTGGTGTTCTGGTGGCGGGTGTCATGATGGTGGTGCTAGACAGCCGGATGCATACGATGTACATGACCTCTACTTTTTTATACGATAATTATCATTGCTTCTGGGATTTTTTTGAAAGACTCGGATATCTTCTTGGGTTCGTCGCCTGTAAATTCTGTCGTCGAGCCAACTCCATCCACTCTCTCTTCTCCTTCGGGCTCTGGCAGCAAACCACCAAGTAGGAACTGCCTCGAAGCCACCCAACCCGTCTTTCCTGTGGGAAATGTTACTGGCCCCACCAAAAGGGATGCGGGTCTCACCCTACTCCACTTTTCAAGTCCCGCAACCGCAATGCAGCGCATCCACCTGCACGGCGCAAGGCACGAGCCAAATACCCCAACACCGACACTGCTTTCCAACAATCACAGAACAAGCTTGTTCTGAACAGCCCGGATGGTCTAGCGGTATGATTCTCGCTTAGGGTTCAACCCTGAGTCTAAAATGCGAGAGGTCCCCGGTTCAATCCCGGGTTCGGGCCCATCTTTTTTGAAAATTTGCCCTTTGCATTACTGTCATGCCTTTCCTTCTCCTTTTTGGGGTCGGTGGTAGCCTTTGGGCCACATTTCCAGGGTCGAGTTGTCTCGATGCGGATGGAGATTCTGGAATAACTATGCGGGTCGGCGTACTTGCCATGCCTACCCCATGTGGTTGGCAAGTTCGTCTGGGGCAAATGGGAATGCATATTGGGGACAAAAGGGTCACAAAGAAATTGTTGTCCGAATTCTCTGCTCAACAATGGCTGGCCTCTCTTTCTTTGGCCCACTCACTCGTCCTGCACCTTGACCACCACCTTCTTCGCAAACTTTCCTGCCTCAAACCCACCAAGAGCATCGATAATTGCCTGCCACCCCTGGCCCTCGGCAAGCTCGTAGTCCAGCGCTGTCAATTCGCCCGTCTCCAGGTACGGCTCAAACTTCTCAATCATTTCGGCCGTTTGCGCCGTCACCTTCCTCCCCTCCGGCTCCCCCACTCGCCCGAGAAGGCCCAGCTGCACGCGGTGTATAGTGACGGAAGGGGTTGCCTCCATGGGGGACCTATTTACATGTCAATATACGTCAGGGCGTTAACACGATCAATAAAAGAGAGCACTCACGAGTCATCGACCGTAGCAAAGTACTTGGTCCCTCCCTGCGTCGACATCTCGAGCGCCTTGAGCGAGAGCTCCGCTGCCTGCGCGCTAGCATCCACAACACGGCGGAACCGACCTCCCGTGATGTCCTTGATAGCAGCGAGCTGATCGGCTTCGCTGGCGCGGTTGTCGAACGTCGCGGTAGCACCCGAGGAGAGGGCGCGCTGGGTTCGTCAATACGTATATATATAAGACGTGGAAACTCGGACGGAACACACCTCGGCCTTGGCCTTTGAACTCGACGCCAGCACCTCGTACCCCGCAATTCTCGCAATCTGCGAGACATACTGCCCAACCGATCCGCTACCGCCCATGACGACGATCCATTCGTCTTTCGCTCCTGGGGATGTCCCAGGGGCAGGGAGGGTGATCTCGAGACCGAAGAGGACGAGATGACCCGCCGTCTTCACATCCACATGTCAGTCCCCTGCTAGGTTCGCAGCGCAGGAAAGGGGAACTTACCAACACCCCCGCGCCAATGGTACTCGACTCCTCCAGCCCGATCCGGTCTGCCTTCTTGAAGATCCAGCGCTCGTCGACGAGAAACGTCTCTTGGAACGGCGAGTACGCGCTCAGCCCGATGGGCACGCAGCCGTAGACGTAGTCGCCGACGTGGAGCTTGGTGCAGTCGGGAGAGGTGGAGAGGACGACGCCGGTGGCGTCGCTGCCGAGGACAGCGGGGTAGGATTCAATGAGCACGCCGGTGTGGGACATGAAAGGTTCGCTGGGAGTGTGAGGATAGGGTTTGGAGATGCGGTGCATGGGGAGCGCTTACACGGGGTTGATGCTGGTGTAGAGACTCTTGACGAGCGCTTTTTTGGAGGCGAGGGAGGGTACGGGGATGTCGTTTGTGATGAGGTGGGGGGCGTTGGGGGCCGAAATGGTGATGCCGGATTGGGTAGCCATGGTTGCGGTTGTTAGTGTGGTGAAGGGGCGGCGACGGTAGGTAAGGGGAGCGGACAAGAGAGCACGAGAAGTCAGATGACGGAAAAGTGACATTCCATCTAGGAACTGACCACGGGAGGGGGGTCTAGGTATAAGACTTATATCGTCGCTCCGCTAGCTCCACGTTTTGCTGCAGACTCCGTCGACTCCGGCACTGCATGGAGGATCGATATTTCCTGCAACATAAAGCAGCTTGGTATCATCCAGCTGGATAGAAGATCAAGGCACCGATAACCACGCAAGCAACGGGTGCCTGAGATGCATCTAGACTGTCAACTAGGAAGCTCAAGGCTCGGCATGTCTCTCCTCCGTTGCTGACTCGACGGCTCAGACGGTTGCAACCACTGCACGCAAGATTTCGGGATAGATGCAGCTGCATCGATCGAGTCAGAGGACGGGGACTGAAGATAGTGAGCATTTCAATCTCATTGGGGTTCGACGATGACTAACACCAGGGCTGCATCTACATAGCGCCTCGCCTTCACCATGCAGGGGACTTTGTCGCGTTTATTGGCTCCAAGGTTTGGACCGGCAGTTGAGCCTGTTCAATAGTCTCATTGAGGAGAGGTGTTGACGACATCACTTGCTGCCTGGGTTCCCGGTGTTGAAGGGCTGGGGTAGTTAGGGGGGGATGGTGAAGAGGTTTCAATGGCACATGAGAGGATCCCCGCTATTCTAACGAGATTATGTTGGCAGATCGATGTTTTACGAGAGTCTTTGCGACGGCGAATGAAGAGGAAAGATCAAATGGTTTCTTCCATCTGTCGATAGGTACTAAAGTTGCACGTTGCCCAGACAGCAGATTGCCGAGTTCAACAACCAGGGGGTTAATCACTCGTCACAGAGACAAATTCAAGAAGGACACCGGGATCACACCGACACAGGAACAGTATCTTTTGGGGGAAACCCTTTTTCTTCTGTATTTTTCACTTCGACCATCATTTCTTGCCGTCCCAACTCGAAAGTTGTGGCACACTCTACAAGATACGTAGAATACGCATATTGTTGGTGGTGTCCAAGGCAGAATAATCTGCCAAGGGCCAAAATCTATGGACTATCTAGGGTGCTGGGCTGCAAAGCAGGGCCACGAAGTGGCCCAGGGTGGGTCCCCCACCACAAAAGTCCTAACTGGGAAACAAACGAGAGCAACCATAGCCAATGCAGACCGCGACACCACAAACTCACCAACGTAAGTCCCAAAGACTTGGCCAAAAGAAACAACCCACACCCCTACCTATCTATCACTCAGTCCGACTCCCACCACCTCTGTCCCCCCTCCTCGGCCTCCCTCTTGTCCTCCCTCTCCTGCCTCCGCCTCTCCTACACCCCGCGCTCCCTCACCCACTCCGCCTGCGCCCTCTGCTCCGCACTTAGCTCGTCCTCCTCAATGCACAGCACTCTCCGGATCTGCCCCGCCGTCAAACCTCTCAGCCGCTCCCCCACCACCTGCGCCGCCTGCCGCACCAGCCGCTCCATGCCTAGATAATTCGCCGCGATCATGACCTCGAACAGCCGCGGGTACGGCACGTCTAGCAGGGCGTACTCCCATACGGGAAGCGGGGCGCCGAGGTCGTCGTCGTCGACCTGGGAGGGGAAGACGGAGGCAGGGTGGGAGCCGGAGAAGGACGCCGGGGAGGTATTGGGAGGGGAGAGAGGGGAGAGGGGGGTGTTGTGTATGAGCCAGGCGGCGATGGCGGAGAGGGCGGCGTCAGAGGTGCGGTCGATCATCAGGGGGATGATGATGTCCGGGTAAGGGGAGGAGGGGGAGAGGTCGAAGAGGTCTTCGTGGAGGTCGGAGAGGAGGGTGGAGTGGGAGGCGGAGGAGAGGGGGATGGTGAAGATCTCACCTGCGAGACCGGTGGAGGGGGTGTTTTGGAAGGAGATAGTGGGGGTGGAGTGGGTGGTGGTGGCGGTGGCCATCAATTTCGTGGTGGGAAGGATGCTTGTGGGTGGTTTGTGTGTGTTTGTACTCGAAGAGAAGAAGCGGATGAGGCGGACGAAGAGAAATGGACTTGGAGTGTCGTGGACGGTGTTTATATCTGGGGAGTGGTAGTCATGGAGGACAGGGGTGTGCTGAGCCTTGAATGACATTCTCCAGGCTCCTTTGGTTAAGTCGAAACCTTGGAAAGAACCTTTCAATGCCATTGTTGGACTCGACTTGGGCATGTCAGCAGCTTTCGAGGACGACATGGGGGCCTCGGCAAACAAAGGACCTTCTATGGCTTCCATTGATCTGGGTTCTTACAACCTATGTCGCCATCGAGAACGGGTGCCATGGCTCTCTGACTATGGCGGCTGTTCAAGAACAAGGCACAACTTCATGAACAGTATCACTGTAACGTCAAGGATTCAAGAATAGTAGTATAAATATGGAGTACTTCTCTGTCCAGTTGACTGGAGGTGAATTCCTCGGCCCGGCTTATCCCTCTTTTCTTCACAGACAACCACGAACCTCCCTCAACTCGCAAACAGCTACGACTTTCTGGATTCCAAACGAGTCCCCAACGAGTCGTCACCATGTTGAGTCTCACTCGTTCTTGGTACGCCAGGCCCATGGTGAAGCAGCACCCCCACGTCGCCCGAGCCCTAATGATGACCAAGGAGTGTTTGCTGATGGTTGCTTTGTTCTTGATCCTCGCCTGCTGGATCTACCCCGTCTTCCACGCCCTGGACGCCATCTACGACTTCGAGCCATCCTTCATGGTTCGGTTTTCCCTGATCGGCGTTCTATTCCTCGTCATCTGTCACATGCGCCACTGGGTGCTCATCTATACTAGTGACCCGCTCCCGATGGATATGAACGGGATACCCATTCGCGTCAAATTCGGCAATATCGACCCCAACCTTGTATTCGAGAAACACATCGAATGGCGGGCCTATGTCATCTGCCACCATGGTGCCTGGGGGGGCTGGACCATTGCTCTCTTAATTACCACGGTGTACTCGCTGGTCATCGCGCAGCTCGCCGAATGGCGGCTGTTGCTTGAACATGACCCGACGCCTATGAACACGACCGCGCATGCTGCCATCACTGGGACTCTCGTCTTCATGGTACTGCACCTCGTCCACGCCTGCGGCTTCATGTCGAAAGCCGTAGCAGGGGCCATTAGGCAGATCAAGATTCCCCGCGAGGAGCGGACGGACACAAAAGTGTGGTCGGGGTTGTGGCACGCTGGCTCATACTTGTTGTGAGTGGGTGGGGTCGCATCTGGCTAGACTGACTTTGAGTGGTGTCTGGTGTCCGGGACAAAGGAGAAGTGAGCAACCACTGGAATCTCGCCGCTTCTCGTTTGGGGAGGGTCTGGTAGTTAGTGTTGCATCAGGGACTGAGGAGAGGTGTAGCATCCCCGAGATGGATGCGAGGATAGATAGGTGGGTAGTAGTGGGAGAAGTAGAGGGAAAGC